TCCGTCGACCCGGGTTCAATCCGCCTGCCAGCTCCTCGGGTGTTTGAGGAGTGATGAAATGGGAGGTGGCCCCCCATCATATGGACGGTGTAGGACGTGATAATATCAACTTGCGAGCTGACCAGGAACTAAGTTGATGCGCCGTTGATCCGCTAGATTTGGTTGGATGCTGGTGGTGAGTTGCCGAACCCAACGAATACATTCTGAAGTCGGATGGGGTGACGGATTAGGGTGCCCCTCTAGCAGGGGAGAGCAGGGACTGCCCCGGGAAAGGGGGCCGCTGGCGAAGTTAACCACCCTGTAACAACATACATACATACATCCTCCCATTGCCTTACCTGGTAAGCCGCCACGAAGTTGTTTATTGCTGCCATGAGGCTCATCGACCCGGTTCTCAGGTGCTGGTGCAGTCCCCGCCGTACAGCCGCCGCCGCCAGGGGGCCGTTGCTGACCAGAGCTGTACGGTGCGTCGTCATGTGCTCCGCAGTGCCGCCCTCCCTGGAGTGAAAGGGGCGGGGGGGGGCAGGGGCAACAGACGTCTTGCTGGGCGGGCAGGGCGGCTGCACCCCGGCATCAATGCATGCACTCGTGCCGCTATGCAGGCTATCTACCTCGCATCCATCCAGGCACACATCCACGCACGTGCGGAGAGGGTACGCGGATCCAGAGGGATGTGGAGGACGTGGGGACGGGGCGGATGGTGTCCCGGCTGGGTACGCTGCTGCTAGGGAGGGTGGGGGTGGGGTGGGGTGGGGGGGTCACATCCCCCACCGTTACCTCCCCGCACCAAATGAGGTAAGTGACAAACCTGACCTCTACTACCACTACCACTAGCACATCCTTCAGGACCTCCAGTACCTGCAGCTCACTCTTTCAGTTGTAAACCCTGCGCTGAACATCAACGACCGCAATGTCAATCAAACGAGACCTGACGACCACACCACCGACACCAACATGTGGGTAACGTCGTACTGGGGTTTTACTTCCGGAACCCCCCGGGGGGGTCGATCTGGCTTCATCGCTCACACCGCTTATAGAGCTCCCT